TTAGACTTTTCTAGCCACCCATGTTTGTTGCATCATCATCCCCGGAAGCTGCATCATCCGTTGACGACTCCAATATCATCACAGGATCATCTTCATCGTCTTCGTCTTCCTTTAAACCTTGAGTTCTTCTTTCAGCTTGATCCCAATCTTTCTTACAAACACAAATTTGAATGCTTTCCGGAGTTAAGCGAGATCTTTTTTCATCTAACACTCTTCTACCTGCACTAAAAGCAGACTCGGAAGCAACAGATGAAGCGGGAACTGCAAGTATATCTTTTGCAATTCTCGCCAATATAGGAAAACTTTTTTTATGTTCTTGCCACCATTTTATAATTTGAAAGTTGTTGTTGGTCTCATGTTGATATGACAAATAATCATTAGTAGCAAGTGTTGAAGAAGATGATGATGAGAATGATGTAGATGCTTTGTGTTTTTTTTTCATAACTTTATCAAGAAAACCAAATCTAGAATCGGAAGTGCTAGTAGTAGTTGGTGTTGCCAAATCAAAACCATAAATAGATGCATAATGATCATAAAGGTCTCCCAAAACAGATTTGCATTTGTTAATATATTCACTAACATCATAATCGATACTTAAACTTGTATAATAAAATTCTAAAAGATTTTCCAAACCTTCAGCTTTGACACCGGGGTCAAGAATAGCAGCAATTCCATAAATGATTGGAAATTCACTAAAATAAGTATGCCACTTACGTTTCATGCTATCAAGAACGGGACGAAGTCCATCAATCTTCATATGCTCTTCGATGGTGTGAACAACTTTAACACACTCAATTATGACTAAATGAACGTTAGGCTCATAAATATAAGAGAAAATATGAGTTGCACTATCAAAAGCATTTAAAACATCACGAACAAAAGAAGCATTAGTCCAATGACTTTCGGTTATTAACTCAGTAGGATCAACACGAGTCTCATTGTAAAGTTGGGTCAAAATATCACGATACTTTATAGCATCACTCAACAACTTGAAAGTAGAATTCCAACGGGTAGGGGTATCAATAGACCATTGTCTTTTCTTAAGACCTCTCTCTTTACACATAGCTATGTACTTTCTTCTAACTGACTGAGTAATCCTAATCCATTTTATAACTGTTCTAATTGGGTTTAGCAATGGTTGCAACTCAGCGAGACCCTCTTGAACAGACAAATTCAAAATATGAGCACAACATCTAACATGCAAGAGACTACCACCCAACAACAAATTCAACTCGGAGTCATTTTTCAAATAGTCAATACACTTTGTGTTTGCAGTTGCATTATCAAGAGACAAAGAAAAAACTTTATTATTCAAGTGAAATTCTTTTAAACAATCCAAAATACGAACTTTGATGTTAAAACCGGTATGCCTTTCTTCCATAGCTTGAAAACATAGTATACGTTTTTGAATAAACCAATCATCATCCACCCAATGAGCAGTAATGCAAAGAAAAGGTTCGCCAAAACTAGAAGTCCATGTATCACTTGTAAAACTAACACGACCATCAAAAGTACGAAATAATTCAATCAAACCACTCCTATACTTATAATAAGAAGTTTGTGTATAACGTCTTAGGGTATTTCGGGGGACACGAGTAAATGCAGGTTGTAATGCAACTTTATTAAAATGCTCAACGTTTGCATTTTCACCGTAACTAAAAGGGTATTCATTAGCAATAACTAAAGTACTCATTTCATCAATCATTCTATCTTTATTATAAATGAAAGGTGTACCTCCGCCGGGTTGGTTCATGTATCCACCCAATTGTGTTTGGACGCCACCCCCCGAAGGACGGGGGCCATTTTCGAACAAGTCGTGTTTATTTTGCAAATGCCGACTCAAGGTTCCGGTTCCATCTCCCGTTTTCCAATTATATGACTTGACATTTGCACCTAGCGCCTTGCAAACTAGGCATGTACACGTGAACCTCTTTGGTTGACCAGGTTGCCATCCCGGGGGTGTGACCTCAACTCGTTCAAAATGTTTCCACACCCAAGAAAAATGTGCTCGACCTCTACTTTCACCGCCACCACCTTTCATAAATCAAATTATTAAAATTAATTTTTAAATGCTATTCATGAAAATAAGCTTTTAAATTTTAAATATTTTAATTATACTTATTTAAACGCATTTTTCATGGTAATTAACTAATTGTAAATCATAGAAAATTGGAAACTAAACTAACTTTATAATCATTAATAATAGTTTTTTTTTAAATATTCATAACAATAAAAATTTAATTAGAAATTACCTTGAGATGAAGGTTGAGATGTTGGTTGCGATGGAGGTGGCATAGTTGAACTTGATGATTGGTGGGACTCGTGGGAGAAATGTTGTGGTGGAGACGTTTGAATATTTTGCCTATCTCCTAAACCATAATCTCCATATTCATTGACAAATTGGTTTAAATTTTCCGTATTAATTTCATACGAAAAATTTGCACCACCACTCCTTTGGCTACCACTTCGACCACCACTTTGACTCCTTCCCATTCCTCCTCTTGAGCTCATTTTTTTTTTGTATGATTACTAATTATAATATGGAGAAGAACTTTTTTTTTTTAGAATCTTAAGAATACTAATAATAATATTAAGGAGATTTTTTTTAACAAAAATATAACTCTATATAACACTTGAGAATTTGAGAACAATAAGAATTTTTAAGTAAGAGAGAAAGAAAGCTTGAATTTGTGTGGAAAGTTGAGTGAAATGGAATTGGTATTTATAGGAAAAATAGAATGGATGATCATACACTTAAAAAACTAGCCGTTAGATACAAAAAACTAGCCGTTAGATACAAAAAACTAGTCGTTTTTTTTTTAAAATGGATGTTAGGCCGTGCGGGCCGTGCGGGTCGTGCGAATTGTGCGGGCTGTGCGGGCCGTGCGGGTTGTGCGGGCCGTGCGGGTTGTGCCGGCCGTGCGGGTTGGGTGGGTCATGCGTGCGGGTTGGGTGGGTCATGCGTGCGGGTTAGGTGGGTTGGCTCGTGCGGGTTGGGTGGGTCATTCGTGCGGGTGGGCCGTGCGGGCTGGGTTGTGCCAGGTGGGTCGGGTTAGGTGGGTTCACGGGCTAGGTGTGTCGAATTAAATGAGTCAAAACGGGTTGTGCGATTTGGGTCGAATCAAACGGGTTAAACTGAGCTGGGTTGAAATGGGTTGTGTCGAAAATTTTGGACCCACGACACAACCCGGATTAAATCCGAGCTGTGCCGGGCTGTGCCGGATTGAAACCGGGTCGGACCCACGTGACCCACCAGCCGTGCGAGTTAGGGTGGGCTGGGTCCAACCCGGCCCACTGGCCACCTCTATTACCGATCAATTGGTTTATTAGAGGAAAACACTTATTAAATTGATCGGAATTATTAAATTGATTTTTTTCTATTTAAAAAACGTCATTTAATTTTACATAAAAAAGTTCCAAATTAGTGGCAAATCTACATACTCCGGAATCGAGGGAGCCTAGCTTATCTTCATGATAGACAAAAATCGTTTATCTAGTGGCATTTCTGTAAATATCAACAAAATATCCCAGTCAGCATAGCATTTTCGTAAATAAATAAACATTTGTGAGACCTGCATTTAATAAAAGTTGTTGACTTATTTATAAAATGCCACTAGATAAACATTTTTTTTTTGTTTATCATCACTATAAAAAAATTACCATAGAGAAACGAAATTCTAGTGATGGAATTCAATCCGTTTCTAAATTAGAGACGGAATTAAAAAAATCCGTTTCTAAATTAGAGACGGAATTAAAAAAATCCGTCTCTAAATTAGAAATGGAATTGAAAACCCGTCTCCAAATTAGAAACGGATTTTTTTTCCGTTGCAAATTTAGAGACCTTTTTTTTTTTTTTTCCCATTGCTAAATTAGAGACGAATTTTTTTATCCCATTGCTGATATGAGCGACGGATTATGTAAAATATTACTTTAGAGACGAATTATGTAAACTAAAATCCGTCTCTAAACTAGAAACGGATTTGAAAATCTGTTTCTAAACTAGAGACGGATTTTAAATTCCGTCTCTAATATTTCTTTCACTTATTATCAATTATGTGCGTAGAAGTAAACAAATAATATTTGGTATAGTTGGTAAGAGTTTCACTATGTGACTTTGAGGTCACGGGTACGACTCCCACCTATTGCAATTTTTGAGATTGGAGATTCAAGGAGCCTTACATGCAAAGCCGAGTCTGGTTGACCTGAGTGAGGTCGAAGCGAATCGCAGACAGATTTTTTTTTTTCCGTTGCTAAATTTAGCGACGGATTTTTTTTTTTCCTTGTTAATATGAGCTACGGATTTTTTTTCCGTTGCCAAATTTAGAGACGGATTTTTTTTTCCCGTCGCTAATACCAGCGACAGATAAAAATAATCCATTGCTAAAACCAGCAACGGAAATAAAAGTTCATTGCTAAGTTCAGCAACAAAAAAACAAATACAACGCCGCTAGTCTCATTTAGCGACAACAGTTTTGCCAACGGAGTATTTCGGTTTCAAAATCTGTCGCTACCTATATTTAGCGACAGTGAAGTACAATCTAGAAATGGATTTGATATGTTGCTTAATGTCTATTTTTTTGTAGTGCATGAAGATAAACTTGTACTTACTCCGTTTCGTAATAATCACAAAGTTAAAAATTATAGGATGACTAAAAGAAATTTTTTTATACTATAAAGTTTAGTTAGTAGGGGAGATAAATACTCCCTCTGTGTTTAAATAAATGAAACGTTTTGACTTTTACGAAGTTTTAGGAAGATTAATAGATTTTATTAAAATAATAGGGAGTGGGGTATAAGTTAAGGAGAGAGAAGAGAGTAAGAAGTTTTGTGGGACTATTAGTTAATAGAATGTTATTAAAAAAAAAATAGAGACAAGTTATTAAAAAAGGAAACGTTTTATTTATTTAAACATGGCCGAAAAAGAAAAACGTTTCATTTATTTAAATACGAAGGGTGTAATAAAAAAAAGTTGTGTAAGTGGGGTGGGTAGGAGAGAGAAATAATAAAATATATGTGAAAGTAAGATTAGTAAGAAAGAAATACACTAAAATAATAATGGGTTCTTTCCGAATAAAAAAGTGTTGTAATTATTATAAAACGGACGTAGAAGAAAAGAGTTGCGATTATTACAAAACGAATAGAGTATCTTTCGTATAAAAAATAAACCGCACCTACTTAGAACAACGAGCCACTTCATACCCACGTCAGAAAGCGGCTACTACTATTGTAAACCATTTTCATTCTCTCTCCCCCTCAACTGAGAAGACTGGAGAAGAAAAATCAATCCCCTCTTCTCCTTCTTCCAGTTTTCTCAAGAAATCACAAAAATGGCAGAACCCCAGAAAAACAACAACACCAACAATTCAACCCAAATCACAACGAGGGTGACAGTCCCACCATACATGAAAGCCATTTCAGGGTCAGTTGGAGGAATCGTAGAAGCCTGTTGTTTACAGCCGATTGACGTTATCAAAACCCGTTTACAGCTTGATAGGGCTGGAAATTACAAGGGTATCCTTCATTGTGGAACCACTGTTGCAAATACTGAAGGGGTACGTGCTCTTTGGAAGGGATTAACCCCATTTGCAACTCATCTCACTCTTAAGTATGCCCTTCGTATGGGTACTAATGCTGTCCTTCAATCGGCTTTTAAAGACTCTGAAACTGGCAAACTTAGTTATCAAGGTCGTTTGTTTTCTGGGTTTGGTGCTGGTGTTCTTGAAGCCCTCGTTATTGTCACCCCTTTTGAGGTTTGTTGAATTTTTCCCATTTTTTTTGGTTTAAATTTTGTGGGGTTTTGTTTTTGTTTAATACTTTAATTATTAATATTATATACTGTACTTTGCTTTTAATTTGTGGAGTTGTTGATAATTTGGATTAATTTAATTCGTAATGAACATTTTTGGATGTAGATGGGATTTGATCACATGTCTTAGTGATCCGTGATTGTTTTTTTTATAAATTCGATTAGTGGACAAAGAAGTTTGATAGAGAACTCCCCAATGTGAATTTGTGGTTGTTTTTGCAAATGGGGGCTTTTGTGGGTCCCATAGGAATACTCATTTTACTACGGCAGAATCCTAACCTGTGGTTGTTATTGTATTTTGATTAAAGAGGGGTAGTTTTGATTGATTGCATTTTGATTTGGATGTTGGTGTAGAATTCTAGATCATCTTGGATGAATTTGGTTGTTGTTGTCAAATACTTGTAGGTGAGAAATGTTAGGTTTGTAACGATTATGAACGTTCCACGTGTTCCTGACTGAGCTGGGATGAATCTTGGTAAAACTTTAGTTATTAGTTTATTAGCTGTTACAGATCAAAGTTGAAATGGTGGTGGCTTTTCAAATGGGCACTTTGAATTACTTTATTAGTTTTCTTTCTGATTACACTTTGATTGTTCAAATTATGGTAAAGTACGTACTAAGGTTGTCTATGGGAATGTCGATACGATTCGGAACCTTATAGTTATTCCCCCCCAAAAAAAGATAAGGAACTTTTGCTTAAGTATCAATCTGGAAGCTTTTTAGAATTTTCAATTACTTTAGGATGTATGGGTTTTTTTTTAATATATCAGGTTAAACCGTTAAAGTGGAATTATTCGAACATATTTTCCTTGTGGGTGGATTAGACTTTGGGATATTGGCAAAGGGTCTGAGTTCGTAATTAAGTTTGTTGGATCATTGAAATCAAGTACTAATTATACTGTATATCTGTACAATTTCTAATCAGACTATAAGGATGTCTTGAGGAACTTTAACAGCACATAGCTTCTTGAACTTTAACAGCACATAGCTTCTTGGGCCCAAGTATATAAATTAGATGTCACCACCTCTGTTTCATAATGTTTATCTACTTCATCATTTGCATAAAGACTTTAAAAAAAAAAAGACTTCTGCTAACTATATTGTTTTAATGAGCATAGCTTAATATACATGAATTTCTAGTGGTTGTTTACATGGGTGAGATGATAATAATCAGTTTGCCACTAAATTTGTTGCAGGGACTTAGCATTCATAGGCTTTTGATTTATACTCATATATCATCTATTAGAAGTTTTGTTTTGTCTTTGCGTATCTGTGTTGGTGCCAGGTTTGTGTACGCTGTTAAATTCCTCCATTGAAAAACTGAACCATGCTATGCCGATTATGTTTGTTAAAATGAATTTAAGGACTGGACTAGACTCAGAAAATAATGTTGTGGTATGTTATTTTGGCACTCAAGGGATCTAAAGAATTTATAGTGAAGAAGCATAGTTTTAGCATACAAGTTTGTGTTGTGTGTATGCAGGTCAGAGTATAATTTTGTTTAGGTTTCCATTCACTTTGTAATATGAAGTCTTTGAATCAACTCGACATTTAATTTCGTACTTTAGGGGCACCTCATTAATTTTTTATTATGAAGTCTTTTAGTATGTTTCTCGCACTTTAGAGTTGGTGGGAACTTGGGCTAGTAATTAGCTAATAACAGATATGCCTATTTATTAAGAAATTCTTATTTAGCAGGGTGAGGAGGGGTTGGATCACCCATGTTGTTAGAGGAGGTTGTTTCCCATCAACCTTCCTCTTCTTCTTTGCAAGTATAAAAATCAATTTAATAAGTGCAGGCTGTCTAATTAGTCATTATAGTTTAGCCCTTTGTTATACAAAGTCAAAGAGCTGTGAATTGATGACTGTGACTTCACTAGAAATGAACAGTAGTTCTAGATCATAGACCTTGTTGTTGTAAAGCCCAGGCACCTATATTTTTACATGAACAAGGCGGGAACAGGGTCTATATGGCTTAATTGCTGTTTGTGGCAACTGTGTCTCAAGACACAGAGTTTAGCTTTTCGGGTGTTGGGATAATATCAACCTTATTTCTGGTGGATATGCTGACATCTTGGCTATCCTGTTGCTGACAAAAATGCTCCATAATTTTATCATCCCTGCAGCACAATCTTGATAGTCGTAATGGAAGAAATTAAGGTTTCCATGCCATCATATGTGGAAATGGCCCAAAATAGTCACATAAACTATGTGTAGCATTTTTTTATCATGATGCAAATCTCTTACTTGTTGATACTAATATGGTATCTTCATCTTATATAAATCTATTTGTTGGTTATGAAAAACAGGCAACAGTCATGTAATTTGATTTTCTGCTTGCTTTTGTTTCTTATTTGTGTAACATGTAAAGCTCCTGTACTACCATGCTTTTTAAGATTGTGTCTGTAAAACTTTGTCCTTCTTGTCGTGTTGAACAATTTAACTTCCTAGCCATGTTAAATCACAAGAGCAGCCAAGCATAATGGAAAGAGATATAGTGGGAAAGGGGTAGAGTGGTATAAAGATACATCATATGCTGGCTGGTAGAGTAGAGGGTAGTGGGGAGACGACAATCAATCGCATATATCTGCCATAAGAGTGAGAAAAGTCATAAGAGAAACATTAGATTCTTATTCAAAGTAAGTGCTCATTTAAATAAGCCAATAGTCTACCTAATTCCAGTGACTTTCATCCTTCAATTCACTTGCATCATATGGAGACAAGTGCTGTTTATTAAACTCAAAACTCCTATACTTCCAAATCAGTTTACCTAACCAAGATATTCCTGCTTTCACTAGCTTAGTTCTAATATACTTCCTCCGTTTTTCTTTAATTGACGCGTATTCTTTTTAGAAAATTTCTTTTTAGTTGACACTTTTTTTTTGTGGTAAAGTTTGGTTATATACAATTCCTACTTTACCCTTGCTACCCCACATTACCCCCACCCAATTTTGAGTGGGTAGGAGTATTATGGTCTTTTTCTTCCTTTATCTCACCTCCTTAATATGTGTGCCAAAATAAAGTGTATCAACTAATAAAGAACGGATGAAGTACATCTTTGATACCAAAAAGTTGTTTTTTATTGAAAAAATAAGCAATCTCTACAATTGAGTAAAAAGTTGCTCTGTACAACTTAATTTGAAGTCCCTCAATGTCCTAAGCATATTACTTGCGGACTATGTCACTAGTTGTAGCATGAACTTCAGGTTGAGATCTTCTAAGCCAACAAGATACTTTTTACTGTTGAAGTCTCTAGAATAATAATTAGTGTCATAACGATCAAGAAATGAGCACTTAACTTTTGAAAGTAGATATGAGTTGACAAGAAAGAAGCCCGATATGGATTGCTGAAGACTGTGAAAAGGGTGAGAAACATGAGCTATAGCTCTCTAAGGAAATCAGAAGTGGAATTAATAGAATCTTTTGTAGGTCAATATTTTTCTTTCTTGAACAGTTCAAAAAAGCTCTGGTGTTGGCAACAGTTTTTAGGTTTATAACTTGTGTGTAGATTGACCCTGTAAATTATGTTTGATGCTAGACTATCCCTTTTTTCCCTAGGTTTGAATGTTAACATTCTTGCATTTCCCAGCTGTTGATGATGTATTGTATTTGTCTATATTTGACACAGGTGGTGAAAATTAGGTTACAACAGCAGAAAGGATTGAGTCCTGAACTCCTAAAATACAAGGGTCCCATTCATTGTGCCCGTATGACAATACGTGAAGAAGGAATTCGAGGGCTGTGGTCAGGTGCTGCTCCAACAGTCATGCGCAATGGAACTAACCAAGCAGCCATGTTCTCTGCCAAGTTCATGTTTGACAAGGCCTTGTGGAATAAGCAAGAAGGTGATGGAACAGTTCTCCAGCCATGGCAGTCTATGATTTCAGGATTTCTTGCTGGGACAGCAGGCCCCATATGCACTGGTCCATTTGATGTTGTGAAAACAAGGCTGATGGCACAAAGCAAGTCTGGGAATAATGTAAAGTACACTGGCATGGTTCATGCCATTAAAACAATCTATGCTGAGGAAGGGCTACGGGCTTTGTGGAGGGGATTACTTCCAAGACTCATGAGGATTCCACCTGGCCAGGCTATCATGTGGGCTGTTGCTGATCAGCTGACTGGACTTTATGAGAAGCGGTTCTTGCAAAGTGCACCCTTGTGAATAACCTAACTTGGTCTTTCTTCTTGTGCTTTGTTTTTCATGGTGATATTGAGAGGGCAGGAAATGTGTCTTATGGGCACAAAAGGAGTTCCTAGTGTATTTTTGACAAGTTCCCAGGAGGAAAGCTCTCACTGGTGATACTTGATAGGGAATTTTGGACTTGTTTGTTTGAGCAACTGTATTATATGGTGGGCAGCTTGATCAGATTTTGGTGCATAGAAGAAATCATGCTCTCTGACAAGAATGCCATTTATATCGCTTTTTTTTTTTTTTCCTAGCCTTTAGCTTCTGAATTTGATGATGTCGAAAATGATGAGGATAGGTCGGTAGTTATAGGTGTTTTGGCCAAATTTGTGACCAAGACAAGCATGTGTTTTAAACAATTCAAAGAGCACCTCCCATTCATTTGTAGAAAACATGAATTGGTTTCAGTCTTTGGCTGTAGTACTATGATCTGTATGGCTTTTTTTGCTGATGCGATGTATAATGAACACTAGAACAGTCTGGAATAGATGGACGAAGTGTTAATGCTGATGCGATGTATAATGAGCACTGCATGAGAAGCGAATCAGCCTCCAGGGCCTAGACTAAGGTGCTGTTAGAGAAGCAATATTACCCTTCAAGGTTAACGCCCACAGAATTGGGTACCCAACTAAACAAATTGGACAGAGACTGGCGACTGGCGACTGTGTGCGCCTGTGCGGACTTAGTTACTTCTCTCTTAATCCATAGCGAGAGCCCTTTAAATAATTTGGGTAACCAATTACTTGAATCAAGCAACTACACCAGGCCCTTTTAGTGGGTAAACAACACCTCTACATATTTTCTTAGACAGAGAAAAACACAATCTCCCACTAAAACTTGCATTGCAAATAGTCCCAACTAATTAATGCAACAAACACATACGGAGTATTACTTTGCCGTTGTCTTTTAATTAAATGACCACACGTTTTCTCGTTACGAGACCACTAAACAAGATAGTACTGTCATATAATGTTGAACCAAAAGCCCAAATGTTATTGTCATGCTCTAATCAATAAAGACTATCTTAACTACATTGACTAGGTAACTTGGTCTTGTAGGGAAAAAAAAAATTTGGAGAAGGGAAGATAGCTTTTGAAATCAATAGATTAACCGAGTTAAAGAAAGATGTTACTTTGAAAGTGGATCTCAAATAAGTTGTCACATTTTACAATCTTCCTAAAGTGTTATTGATTTATCGGCACAACTAGAATGAGATTCTACTAAGGGTAACAAAACTATCTTCCAATTTTGTAACTTGATTGAAAGATGGAAATTACTTCAAAAACCAGTTAGATTTCTAAGGCATTACTTTATAGAAGATAAGTATTTAGGGTTTGTAATTATTCTGATTTCTGAATAATGAATCAAATAAGGCCCCGTTCTTCTAGACTTTTTTGCAGTTAATAAAAGTTCAGTTCAGATCATTCATCAATTCATTTCAATTAAGTTATAACAACAACAACAACACTAATAATAATAGTTGTTGTTATTATTATTATTATTATTATTATTATTATTATTATTATTATTATTATTATTATTATTATTATTATAGAAAAATAACAAAAACCTACAAAGTCATTTGATTTACAAGAAATTAGTGGGGAGCCGAGATACAATCTGGGCCCCTACCCCTCTAGTTATAGCGAACTCGATCCTATTGAAGATATGAGCAGCTGCACGAGCACCAATATCCTGAGTCCTAGCAAACGCCTGAATCCGCTTCAGCAACGCAATAGCATCCTTCTCTAATTCCCCCAATGAAGAAAAGGAGAAAGGAAGAAAACCATAGCTGATTAGGGGATTTTTATCCACCAATCACCGTCTGACAAGTGGACCAACCAGGTTCCGCCACGTGTCCTTCACGTAGGCCAATAGGAGCCTGCCACGTGTCAATCACAGATACGTCCTCTGCGGACCAATTGAGACACGCCACGTGTCCACCCATGCCAAATGGGAAAACCGGCCAACAAGGCCCAATCCTGTTTAGAGGCCCGGTCAGCCCTAGGTTTACCCTAAACCTAGAGAGTGGCACGCTTCTCAAGACTATAAATACTTAATTAATCCTCATTAAAGGGGATGAAGCAATTAATGACTCTCACCTAGAGAAGTCTAAACACATTGATCACTCCTCCCCTAGAGGAACCAGATCTTCCCCCTTTAATTTCCGCACTTATTACTCCTTAATCAGGTACTAACTTGACCGTTGGAGGCGGAGCTCCCAGGAGTCTCCGTTATTTTGCAGGTACAGGCGTCCGGTTCCAGTCTCGGAATTGTAACTCTCCCGCAGGACATCAGAAAACCCCAAAACATTTGGCGCCGTCTGTGGGGAGAGTACTTCAGAGATGGCATCCAAGTCTGTACCGACTCCTGAAGAGAGGCGTCCCCTAGACGACCCTCAAGTTCAGTCGGACCATGACACCGAAAGTGAATTTGAAGTTGAAACTCATACGGCTTCAGACGGGACCCTAAGGGCCCGACGTACCCGTCATACCGAAAGGAGGGAACGGGAGCATCTTCAAACAGGAAGCGAGCCAGCAGGCGCACCGCCTGCTCGGCAACAGCCGACTGATGGGTCTACTCCCATCACAAGGAACGAACTCATGACCTTCATGAGGAACTTCAAGGGAGAGATTCAAGAGTTGATCAACAAGAAGCCGCCTGCTTCAGTCAAGGAGCAGTCGGCCAAGAAACCCTCCACTTCACTGAAGAGGAAGCCAGTTCAAGGGCGAGAGGCGACTCCTCATCCTAAATCTAGGAAGCGGGAGCCACCTGCCCTTGATTTCACAAAATTCCGTTATCCTACAGGAAATAGGAAACCAGTTCGTCATATTCAGGCGGACGGGTCAAAGCAAACATTCACAGATGCTCGGCTACTGCTAGAGCAGAAGAAGAGTGACCGATTGTCAGAGTCGGCTTCTACTTCAAACTTTCAAGACAGTTTGCGAAATGCCTCGATGAGGCATACTTAGTCGTACCATGAGAGTCAGTCAGGCGGCACCTCCCGTCAGTCCGGCTTTCATAGTGCTCAGGCGGTACCAAACTTACCATTCGTGCCGCAACAACAGTATTTTATGCAGCCACCTCCATTTGGTGGACCTACAGCAAAAAACGTCCAACCTATGGACTGGCAGCTACGGTTGCTTAGACTTGGTGAACAGCCGTCGGCCTTCTCCAAGGAAATTACTGAAGCCGCTCAGCCGGCTAAAGTGAAAAATGTACTAGTAGGCGCCTATGACGGCACTACTAACCCAGAAGACCATCTGATGGCATTCACCAACCTGATTTACCTTCAAGGGTTGGATGATCCCACTTGGTGCAAGTGTTTCCCAGCGACTCTCAAAGGAATCGCACAGCAATGGTTCGGCAACCTGCCGACTGGTTGTGTAAATAGCTTCAGGACGCTTGCTTACTTATTTGCCTCCAACTTCGCCATGAACATCCCAGCGAAGAAAACGACCCTTGATTTGGGAACAATTCAGCCGGGCGAGAAGGAGGGGCTTCGTTCTTACATCAGGCGTTTTAACCTGATGAGAATACAGATTCAAGGGTTACCGGATGAGGTAGCTTATACCGACTTTTTTAGAGGTCTCAAAGACGGGTCTACCTTCAAATTTGATTTGGTTCGAAAAAGGGTGGCGACTCTTCAAGAGGCCTTGATTGAAGCAGAAGCCTATATACAGGCGACTGATCTGTGTACGATAAAACAGTCGGACGGGAAAAGGTTCGACAAAAGAGAAGGACGACAGAAACAGTCGTCAAACAAAGATGAGAAAAGAAAAGAGGTCTGGGCGGCTGATTCCTCTAAACAGCCGGCCCAGAAAAAGAAAAAGGAATTCAAACCATACTCCCCAAAGTATGCGTTTAACAAGGATAACCAGTTTATCCTAAAAGAAATCAAGGGACGGATCTCAATTGAGAAGCCGGTCCCCATGAAGGGTTCTGCAAACAACCGGAACCAAGATAAAATCTGTGCTTATCATGATGACGTTGGTCATCACACCAATGACTGCATCAGTCTCATGCGGTACCTAGACCGCCTGGCTGAGCAAGGTGATCTTGACACTTATGTCAAGAAATCTACGGGGAACACTTCCTCAAAAAAGCTGTCGGCCAAAAAGAATCAACAGGCCGACAGCTCCGATACAGATGATGCAGTCGTCTACACCATTGCAGGCGGCTTCTCAGGAGGCGGCCCCACTATTAGGGGCAACAAAGATAATATAAGGCGGTTAGATGTAAATTCCGTTCACCAAGAACGGCCGTCCAAATATACATTTCCTGAGATTGTCATCACTGAAGAGGATCTAGGAGGGGTAAGGGGGTCGCATGACGACCCTCTCGTTATTGAATGTAAAGTGGACAACCAGAGAGTTGGCCGAATCCTCATAGATACCGGGAGCTCCTCAGATCTCATCAGCAGCAAATGTCTGTCGAAACTGAAATATCAGACTGACTGCATACATCCGGCCTCCCACCCTCTAATAGGGTTTGGAGGAGGAGTCGTCCACCCACTGGGACGAGTAGATTTACCCATTCTCCTGGGCGAAAAAGGGGAAAGACGACACATGGTAGTCCGGTTCCTAGTAGTAGAGGAACTCTCGGCCTACAACATGATTATGGGTCGACCAACCCTGAATAATTCCAAGGCTGTTATAATCCCGTCTCTTATGTTGCTCAAGTTTGAGAGGGATAATGGAACAGTCGGCTCCCTAAGGGGAGATCAGAGGATGGCCCGAGAGTGCTATCTCTCGGATGTCAAGCCCACTGTTATGGCCACTGGGTCAAGTGGTGAAAAAACAGACCTTGACAATGTCAAGGAGAGTGCGCCTGTTCAAGAAGCAGGCGGCAAAAAGAGAAAGGCGTCCCAGACAGAGTCCGCAAGAAAAGCAAGAAAATAGCAATCATTGGCAGAGGAGCGGCCGGATGAGTTCCGCCCTCAGCCGGCTGGTGAGCATGCGGACCTGATCTTAGACGACTCACGTCCTGACCGAACAGTCAAAGTTGGGACGACTGCTCTGAGAAACCTTGGTGACGACTTTCACAACTTATTGAAAGAAAAAAAGGACATCTTTGCATTTGAAGTCCATGAAATGCCAGGCATTAGTCCTGATTTGGCGGTACATAAACTCGCCGTGGATCCGAAAAAGAAGCCGGTACGGCAAAAGAAGCGGAACCATGGCGAAGAGAGAAGTCAGGCGGCAGCCGCCGAAGTTAAAAAATTACTTGATGCAGGGTTCATTCGGCAATGTTACTTCCCAGACTGGGTTGCAAATGTGGTGCTTGTTAAAAAGCCGAATGGCACCTGGCGAATGTGTGTAGACTACACAGACTTAAACAAGGTGTGCCCCAAAGACAGTTACCCTCTGCCTAAAATTGATAACCTGGTCGACTCAACAGCCGGCCATGCCTTGATGAGTTTCATGGACGCCTACTCTGGTTTCCATC